TAAGGGGATCTAAATTTTAGTCAGAGTGAATCATTCATTAGTCATATATATTGTGATTTCGCCATTGTAAGCATTCGTATAGATGCAGGAAATTTATAGTTACAGATGGACACGGTAACTCCGTCCAAAATAGCGTTTTACGTCTTAATTATGCAACGTATTATTTTCAAATATTGTTATAGTTATCAGCCTATACAGGAGTAATTATGTTTATCTGAATAAAGGTTTGCGTAACATTGATCTCCTTTAACTTTATTAATTATTCTGGACTACAAATATGAAAGGATAGGTCAACGAAGGAGAACAACACTTAGTAAACGCTCTCAACAGTATCCAGGCAAATGAGGTCGTCGTGAGGCACCAAGTCGGGCAACAACAACAAAAAAACCGTGCTATGATTAATAGAAAAATGAAAGAAAATTTTATGAGACTAGTAACGAAGTTTAAATAAAAATGGCAAAACGGGAAAAACAGGGAATGGTGTAGGGCAATTGATAATAGGTTGGGGTCAAAACTGCAAATCCAGGGAGAGGAAATACTGTTAACGGAAATACAAATAGGACGGGGTGACACAGAAACACAAGTGGTATTACATATAAATCATTAACACAATATACATGTACATTAAATAAACCTAACGGAACGGACAATAGCACAATTACTAATAGGAACTATTTATATGTTAAATATGCACCGAACTTCACTCTGAGTCCCAAAATAAGACGAGACAGTGTCAATAAATGATTCCCTGCTAAGCGAAATTACAACAGTTGCTTTGGTTACTAAAAGTTTAAAGCACAATAAGTAAAGCACGTAAATGGGTGTGAAAGGGAAAATGAACTAAAGCTGCATTTCATTATTGTAATAAATATCTGGAAAAAATATCCCTCGAAAGCATTAAAACAGCTTAATTACATGAACATTTCAGACAAGGTTTGATTGAATCTATGCATGAGTTATAATGAAAAAAGTGCAACATCCTTCACGCCCCCTAGCACCGGCTTGAAAGGAACTCTGTTCTCACACTTAAATGTGCTGGACTCAATGATCATAAAGGACCAGAAAAATATAACAACACTGAAGTTAAATACAGGAGACTTGACAAGAGGGTTGCATATAAATTTGCACATCTCCTTTTGTCTGAATCATTATGTCATTGTGAAAATAATTGTTTAACCTGTAAATATACCGGTATAACGTATATTTGAGACACATACCTTTATAAATGTATAAAATGTTTCGCACGAGAAAAGAATTGTCTGATATTGAAACATAATTTTATGACTCTAACGCCAAAATAGCGAAAGTCTTTTCAAGAATTCATAAAATTATTGATGCATTTTATAACACTATGGTTTTATCTTTTTTCCCTTAATAGTATCTTTTGAATACAGCGTAAACATTAATCAAAATCACAATAAGTCTAGTTAATTTACACCATTTAGAATAACGCAAAATGGAGTTCCCAAAGAACGCCGAAAACAACAAAATTAAAACGAATGTTACAGGCTAGGTTTGATTGAGCGTGTTAATGGAAATTAAATTAGCATCTTTACATAAGCAACGATATTACTAATTTCATCAATTTTAACAGAAGTAATTATGTCCAGCTGATTATTGGAGTACCTTTGTAATGAATGCTCTTCTGTCAGTTGGCTGAATTATTCTGGACCCAAGTTAAATTTTACTACTATAGGCTTATCACTAGGATTACATATAACTTTATGTGTTTCATTATTAATACCTAAATCATTTTTAATTGCACCAGAGTAGAACGAACACAATTTCTAGATTTTCCGACTTTATGTTATTAACACATTGTTTGCCTTTAAGTTACAACACGTGTTCTTCGTATGTCTACAATGCTACAAAATGTTTCCCACGAGAAAAGGCTAGAATGACCTTGAAATCATGACGCTAGAAAAAGTAAATGTTTACAAGAAGAAAACATAATATAATAAATGCATTCACTCTACAGATTACTACCAACACGGTTTCCTCTCTTAACATGATTATATCTTCTGCTGACAAAAAAGAGTTTACATTAATTAAGAAAACCAACTCGACAGTGAATGAAAATAAACACACTACATCTGATAATGTTATTCCAGTAAGAGGGTTGTTTACTTAATTTCAAATATATTGTTGTCTTATTTTTCTTCTCCCGAAGTTGATAAAACTACAATTTACATATCAGTGGTCAATAAATCCGTTTTCCTTGTAATGTCATTCACTGGCAATGAATAATATCAATGCAATAATTTATTTCAAGATCTTGTCTATGTCAATGCCATATACTATCAAAGTATTTAAATGCTATAAAACATTTTTTAACTTACTATAAAATGATATCAATGTCATATATTTCTAACAACTCTGTAACGCCGCCCTTTGGGGTCCGACGCACTTTGGGGTCTGACCCTCTCAGTGCGTTACATTTCGCATCGCACTTTAGGGTCCAACGCACTTTGGGCTCAAAATCGAGAAATTGGCCCCCAAGTGCGGTAATATGCTACATATCAACGCACTTTGGGTTTCATAGTTCTGAAGGTTTCAACTGAGTTCTGCTTAAATACTGAGTACTGACTCATTTCCGATCTTAGACATTGAATTATTTGAGGAAGAGTTGAAGATGACTGTTGATACTCTGTTTGATGCTTATATGATAAAAGTTGCAATAATTTTACCACTTGAAATATCTGAAAATTGTGTCCATATAACAAAGAACTCTAGTACATAAATTGTGAATGTATTCCCAAAATTAAAAGATGCTGCGAAAATATTTTGTTCTGTTAGTCATTTACTTGATAACTTTTGGTTTTAATGTTGAGCCCTTTTAAATATGATGGGCATGAAATAAAATGCAGTTAAAGTTGTTTCCAAACTATAAATATACTCTATTGCAATGTTCTGGTGAAATATCAAGTTTTTCGATCGGACTATGAATAGTGATTTTTACAAATACGTTATTAAGCTTATCAACAAACTTAAGTTATTTTGTAAGCTCCGTAACAACTGTTCGCAAGAGGCTTCTTTAATGGGAAATCTTACATACTTCTTTAGAAAGGCCAAAAATGAAGTTTATAATGTTTAAATAATCGTATCAGAGAAATGTAAGATGCTTGTTACCTGAATAAAGTAGTTATAAATGTGAAATGACTTGTCATAAAAGTAGCAAAATGTAAACAATGTAATATTGTACTTTCATATAAAGTACAAATTCACTATAACTGTACTCATTGCCAAAAAGCAACAGATAAAAAAGATCGGTTTATTGGCCAATGAGAAATGTTTGGATACTATAGGATTACACCAAAATTAAAAAGAAAATTGAGAAATACAAATAAAAGCATAATGGGCCTCTAAAACGTTAACTTTACAATCTCAAGGGGATCGACACTCCACCATCCCCTCTAGATACCAAGTGAGAACTTTACATTATTAGGAAGTTCCGCTCTTAATGTGTGACAATCTAAATAGTTTATGATATTTTTGAGTACTGCCTGTACTGACTACTACTTAAGGCCGCATCTACACCTAGTCAATATTGAATTTCTTAAATGTCACGTTTAGATAAGCTAAATAAATGGCCCTTTCAACATGTTATCATGCACATGTTTTTTACTGAAATGTCTTATTAAGATTTCCCAGGATTCATACCTTTGTCTTTGCTAGGAAACATCATATTTCTATAAATGTGTAAATATAAAAAAAACGGGAAAATGAGTTATTAAATGGAAAATATGTGAAAAATATATTTTGAGCTTATTAATTGATACAAATTCTTTATTTGATGAAAGTTCTTCACTTACTGATCAAGATCATTTAAAATCCCTATTGATTCTACCATAATTCAGGGCACATATTTTGCACATGTTTTCCGTCTATAATATACCTTGATTTTTGTTTACTGTTGACTACAATATATTATTCAAAACATTATGAGAATTCATTTTAATTGATTGATTTTTTTACTACAAAGTGCGGTCGTTTGTCTGATGTTAAAAATGCATATGTACCTGTTTATCGCAGGGGTCGAACCCCAAAGTGCGTTGGATTCCAAAGTGCGGTGTTACAAAGCTCATATAAATAGAAAATGTGATTATTCATTTTCATACTTTGTTACACGATACTACCAAATGCACTATATATTGTAAGACAATGTAAATAAGGTATAATTTATAACCGCAAATCTTATAGCACCACTATGTCAATTGAAAACGTGATAACCAAAGTTTACTTGCGCATTGTGTTTATGTTCACAATAAATTCATTATTTGCTTAAATACATGTAAATGGTATATTATGTTTTTTTAATCTGCATAGCAAATCAGTGTTGCCGCTGATCCAATCTGTCATGCACATGTTTTTTGTAAATAATCTTATCTCATGCTACATGTATATCAATCAGTTTTATCATTTTATGGTCTCTGCATTTTTTCTTTAGAAATATGTTAATTGGAATTGTATGTAAAAGCTTTTATTTCATTGGATGTTGATCCACATATTCTTATGCATTCACAGTTTTATTCTTGTTGTTTATATGTACTGTACAACGCCGTTGAATATTGTTAAATAGAAACAGGCGTTTAATTAAATAAAAAGTTTCAAAAAAAAAAAGTTTCAATCTGTCGTTAGAGAAATATCTTTGAAAAATCTAAGCAAGTCTACACGTTTCAGATATAATGTTCCTAATGATCACATTTCACAACTGATGACTTAAAGATGATGTATTAAACATTTTTAAATTGATTTAACATATATTTTTTATTGCCCGATGAAGGCATATTAAAACCATCTTACACAATAGATTTAATCTCAAATAATATACAGGAAGAGAAGTGCCAATATCTTTATATTTTTTAACAATTCAAATCAAATATTTCTTTTAGAATAGACAGACTTTTTGACAAATCCTCTGCACATCTGTTTCAAATAGCTCAAACGGCTAGGGCTTTTAAGAAAATCATTACAATTCAGTTTCATTTCGTCCCTTCGATGACAGAGTAGACTGTAAAATGATGTTCTCTGGAATTTGCGCATTTTTCCTTTACATCTTCAAAAACCATTTTGCTGTGTCTTTAGCAAATGAAACAATGTGTTCAAAATTTTCCTGTGAAGAACAGCTTCTAGAAAAAATGATTAGGCAGGAAAACAAAGTAGAAATGATGCAAAATAACATTCAGAAAACTCAAGAAGCGATTGCGATATTCTGGAGGGGGAAATTAAGAAAACTAGAGCAAAGGTGTCTCAAAAACTTAAATCGATACAGAGCAATGTCACGGAGGTGGTTGAAAGAGAGAAAGAAAAGAATGAAGGTAATTTATTTTTTCTTATGTAATACATTTGCTTTACTTGTTCTTCTCCGAGCTTGTAGGGAAATTTATTTAAGGCTTATAAAATCATCATTTGCTATTGAATTCGTCTAATTAATGAAACAATTTTTCTAATACTTTGTAAATGAATAAAACGACACTTAAGTTTGTTTCAAGTGAACAATGCTATTATAAAATTAATATACAGGACCAAATGGCCTTAATATGATAATGTATATTTTAATACCCACTGATATTAAGATATATTCATGTTTCGCTTGTTGTTAACTCGATTAAATTAATCATAGAAATTATTTGATGTTGAATTTTAACGTTTCATATTTAAAGTTATTTGACTTCCGCCATAAACCATATGAACACAATAAAAATTATTCTTATCAAAATTATTTTTTAGGCGTTTGCTAGGATATATGTCGCTAGATTGCACGAAAAAATATTTCAGAAATCCATAATGATACATTATATTATATGGTTGCGTTCATTGAACGCCTCCTTTCCTTGTTGATCTTGTTTATTATATTTTATTTTATTATTTGCAAAGGCAGAGATGATATTACGAAATAGCTAAAATACCCTGTGTTCAAACATAATGCATTTCACTGAAGTGAATAAAAAGTGAATAAATTATGAATTCGTCACAAAGATAATCTGAATTTTCCTAATATTGTGTCAATACAAAATCATCATAATTATACTGTTATACATGTATATGCTTAATACTTGATACTAATAGTTCTTAAAAATTTTTATTAATGATAAATTGTCTCCATAATTAAATTGGGTAATCAGAATATGATTGTGTGCGGTAAACAATATTGATAATCAGATATGAACTGTTTTTTACAATGATGAGAAATCCAATTCACATTTACAAATGTCCATATGATGCCAATGCGTTCCTGAACCTGATACGAGACGTCCATTAATTTGGTCCAAAATACCTAAAATCTGGTTTAAAGTTTGAAGTAAAAATACGTTAAGAATTAAGTGGGAAATGTTGACCAAGATGTTTTATTTTTGACAGAAATACTGAAGAAAGCATTTGAAGAACTACGTAATGATTTCACGAATGATATGGAGGAAGGAAGAAAGATGTTAATAGACTTTTCAGGTAAGATAAAAGAAGATCAGCACAATAATCAAGTATTTTCCTATTCATAGCTTAATAGCAAAGACGAATGCGACAATAACTTACATTATCATTGTATAATCAAATAAATAATCATAGATACATGTATTAAAACCTATAAATCATATCAAGATATGAATAAGAATTAAGCTGTGTTCATTTGTTCTTTTGCTTTTGGAGAATATAAATTTCTTTTTTGTAGTTGGAGTTCGAACCAAAACATTTGTTTGTATGTATATTTTGATTTGAAATTTATTCAAAATATCTTGTCACCGATTCATTTAAAGGATGTAAATGTAAATTGTGGCAAAATACATTTCTAAAATCTTTCCTCCGTTTTTCTTAATTTACAGAAAAAATAAAAAAGCCTTCCATTGCATTCTTTGCACACAATGTGGTAGATCTATAACTTAACAAGACAGACGAAATCATCATATTTACCACAGCAACGACCAACGAAGGATCAGGATATGACACTTCTACTGGAATCTTCACAGCACCTGTCGGGGCATTGTACCAATTTATTGTTAATTATTGTACATGGGTCAAACAACATTCACCTCTTGCGTTAGTGCTATCAGGAAACGTGATTGCTCGGTCGGACAATTACGATGCAAAAAAACTCAGCTTGCAGCTCCTTTTCTGCAGTTATGAGAGTGAAATCTGCAGAGCAGTTATGGGTCAAATGTCTGTATGGCTATTCCGGTTATGCTTTGAATAAAGATGACTGGAGGATGATCTCCTTCAGTGGCATTCTCATCAACAAATAAATCATTTATTACCAACATTCACATAGCAATCTGTTTAAATACATACTTATCTGAATTGCTAATTAAACTTGAAATTGAGATACATTATTAAAATTATATGCTCACAACTAATTGCTAAAAGAGATACCTAGCATATATTTTTGTTTCAAGCAAGACGGGTAAGCAAGAGTGGTCCTGGATATTTGTTGTGAATCACTGTTAATCAATCTCTAAATATAGTTTCACATTTTCAAAATCATGCAAGGCTGATCAATTTATCTTCAATATGTTTGAATTATACGTCTTGTTATAATGTAGATTTGTATTATCATATAAAGAATTTACATTTACGCATTTTTTTTCTAATATAGCTACGAAACTTAATTTTAGATAATTCAGAACAATGACATGAGAATAAAATTGTCTGAAATCAACATCTGTAATAATGTTTATTTTCATTAACTTTGCATATCAGTAGTTATGTTTAACACAATAATGAATAAAATAATTTGTAAGATTTAAGCATAGTTTTAAAAGGTGCATTTATTGGAAAAGCAAACTGTAGTGTAAATAATGACAGTATCTTTAAAGGTTAGTTAAAAAAGAGTCACATTAAATTCAAGACATTTACAATGTATATGGTATTTCATATATGATGAGGATATTTATTCGTTTGACTGACTATGGGATATATTTTCACATAATGTGATAAAATTTCATGTATTTGCACAATTCGATTTGTGATTGATTGTGTTGAAGTAGCGCTTTTTTTCAAAAGCTTGATCAGGACATGCTTTTTTGTATAATATACATAAATATGATAATAAAACGTATAGGCTTTCTCGCAAACGTTCAATAGTGTTGTTGTTTCTTAGGTTTAGTAGAAAGATAGTTGGGATATACAAGACCCATGGAAATTATTGTTGGTTTTACGTTACAGTTTAAGGTGGTTAATGTATCTGAGATAAGACATGAAACCTCAAGGTCATTATATCATTATTTTGTTGTGATTATATTTCGTAGCGAAAATAAATCATTCCGTGATAGAAGTTGAAAAGTTGTTGAAAGTGTTCGCCTCAAATTATTTTTATAGAATAGTGAAAGTCTCAAGCACAATAGTAAATTTAAATAATTCATAACTAAGCATTGGAGAATTATTTAAGAGATTTTTTAATTGACAGAAATCCATAGAAATTAAAAAGTACAGTTATTTTTCAAGGGAAGTCAATTTGCCATCGCTTCTAATTGGGATTCTATATAATAAAGGGAAATAATTGGATATGCAAAATATCTCAACTAACCGTACGCGTTACTTTTCTTGACATGCTGATGCATAGCGTGATTGTTGTCACTTCTGCAGAAATCTTTTTTAAAACACCACTGTACTCGCTAAAAGATCCTGTATGTTCTAATTAAGGATGTAAAATCACTTAAGTGGAAATTTTTATATATGCATACAATTGTTCTCCTAAAACAATTACCAAACATTATTATTATTATTGTTATTATATACCACATTTTTATAGCACTCTTTTCATAAATAATAAATGTTCAAGAGTGCTTTACATAAATCCGATAAAACATAATCATATATATATATATATATAATGTACAATATTTATTAAGTAAACCTATTAAACAATAATGATAATCTAAAACAAGTAAAGGATGGTAAGAAATACAGACACATTTAGTTTAAAATCAAGGCTCAATTAAAACAAATTCCTAGAATATGTTAAATATTTTCTGTTAATGTTTATTCGCATTTTAAGTAATCATTTAAATCTATGCATTCATTTCTAATTGAAAGATTTGCCATAGATGTGAACGAGAGTTCTTATTAACTCTTTTTATTAACATGAAATGTAAATTCGGTAATATCTTTACAAATAATGCTTTTTTGAACTTACAATATTGAAAAATCATCATTTGAGGATCAGATTTATGATATAAAACCATAAAAAATTGAGTTACAGGATATTTAACATTACATGCGAAATGCTCAATGAAGTAAAATTGAAATGTTATAATGACTAAAACACAGACACTTTTACATTTTTGTAGATGGAGTTTATACAAATGTTTAGCGAGTACAGGAATGTTGTAAAGAAAATATCTGCAGAACTGACAACAATAACGCTTTCCATGAGCATGTCAAGAAAAGTAACTTGTACGATTAGTTCAGATATTTGCATATCTAATAAATAAAGAGTACTCTTTTAAACATTAATTGGCTGAATGTTTCTAGAGCAAAATTGCATTTACTGCGGTAGATTTGCCAAATGGATTTCGTAGAAAATTTGCGTGTTTCCTTATAAATGAATCATTTTGAAATTGCACAAGAGTAGCTTAATCTAATCATTCTTTCCTTTCCCAGAATTTTATCATTTCAACTGTATGATACATAACGTACTGTTTTCCCCTAAAATTCGTGTTCTACATACCTCTATAAATCTACATGCAAATGTTTCCCACGAGAAAAAGCCTGAACTTCAAATAACTTTATTGCTGCTAACGCCAAAAAAAAAAACAAAAAAAAAACAAAAAAAACGCACAAATTTACAAGAAGCAAACATTAAACAAGTGATGAATTCATACAAGCTAACTAGTGCTTAAATTATCACCAGGGTTTTCTTTTTCAACATTATAATTTATTTCTATGAGAAAGTATATCCTAACAACTAAATGAATGATTTTTTTATTTTCATTCTACTTCAATACAAGATACAATCAATTGTACAATGTACTGTCAAACAAAGTTAATTGTATTATTTATTTGTATCAAGATGTGGATTTCGTAGTTTATAATAATATCGTTGAAATTGTATTTTTGTCAAAAGTGTACCACAAATCTAATACTTATTTAAAAATCATATCAATGATATCATATACATGTTTTAATAGCGAAAGGGTAATTACTGTTTCATAGTATATTTAAGTACACGTTCATAGGTAATAAAACGTATTACGTATTGATTACTAAACGTAAAATATTTGAGAAACAATGGTGCACATGTGTTCAGTAACAGTTACTCTTTAATGAATATTAGTTTCCTTTTGACAGCTGAGTTGATTTTTGTGTACATATCTTGAATTGACATTTTTTTTTTTAATATGTTGTCCTGGTCCATATTTCTCAATTTATGAACAAATAAATGTTAAACAAATCATCAATCAATTATACCCGTCCAAACCTGGATATTTAAGAAAAATTCTCCACCGTTCAATAATTTCAGAAAACATTCATTTACATTCTTTGCACACAAATTGGTCTGCTAAAACTTGACAAAACAGAAAAGATAATGGTATTTGACAGAGCAACTATAAACGGTGGATTAGGGTATGACATTTCTACAGGGAATTTTACTGGACCGATATTGTACCATTTTATCAAAAATATTGTTGTTTCGCATATCAGAACATTCACCTCTTAAACTGGTGATGAAAGCGTACTTATTTTCATAAGGCAGCAAAATGAAACATTACTGACCATAAGAAAACAAATGATGATTGTTGTTCATTTTGTATTTTATGTTGCATCATCACAGTCGAGGTCTTAAAGGAAGACAATAGGTGCCCCTCGGTTTATTATTTCCAGCACGAAAGAGCATTTGAGTAGAACCACTGACGTTCCGTAAGCAAGCTGGATAGCTTCCTCACATGAAAAAAATCCATATTTCCTGGTGGGATTCGAACCCACAGCGGTAATGGGCAAGTGATTTTAAGTCAACGACCTTAACCACTAGGTCACGTACGCCCCTATTCTATTATCGCAACTTTTTACTTAACGAGCAATTTTCTAAATTTCAGCAAGATATGTACCGCGGAATTGTTCTACAAATTACTGTTATTCAATGACTTTAAGTATGATCAAGTTCTTACGAAATTTATATCAGACCATAATATTGTCAATGTATACTTTTAGAGATTTCGTATTTTCCTATTACATACTTTTATCTAAAATATATACTTATACACGTTTCTAATAATTGTAACTATATATTGTAAGTTACATAACACATTTTACCCGATGGAAATGGATATCAGTTTGTCTGAAATTAACATTTGTTACAACAAATATTGGCATTTGTATAAATATCAATAATAAAAATGGACACAATTGTAATCAGAATAATTTGAAAACTTTAAATACAATTTTTTAAAGGTTGGCTACATTGTTTTGTAAATACTGAAATTATTTCAAAAGTAAGTTAAAGGTAGCTGATGAAACCGTAGATTAAGCATGTTCGTTGTAAGTATTCTGCTGTTAGTTCGTTTATTAATGAATCATCAGTGTTTTTCTAGCATTGTATGTGTTCACATTTATATTCATGTTTGTATTCATGGGGTCAAATATCTGCCAAAATTACAATATAAAGTGATGTAATAACTCGCTTTATACACTTCTTACTTATATCATCAGCTATTACTTATTTGTTACGATATGAATAACTTCTTCAAATAAAAAAGATATTTAAATGTCATTGCCATATCTATGCGAACACATTAAAGTTGGTTAAATAAATCATTTTTTTAGTTCGTCGGCTTTATGTTGCTTTATTGGTAAATCAAAATCGGCTTGAGAGCGCAACAGAGTTACTGATAATCAGATCGTCATATAAAACATCCTTTAACTGAACTACAAATATGAAAGGAAAGATCAACGAAGGAGAACAACATTCAGTAAACATAACTCTAAACAGTATCCTGGCAAACGAGGTCGTCGGGAGGCACCAAATATAGTTAAAAGATCAACTAGGAAAAGTGGCGTTCAATGAACGCAACCCCCACAAGAAAAAACAAACAAAACTGACGGGAAATGAAAATAAGGCTAAATTTTAAATAAAATATAATAAATGAGTAAATAAATAAATTTTTACCCAAAAGTGATTTATATAATATTATTGCGGCGATCCCATGGTGCAAATTTGGCACTGAATATGCGAAAACCGTGTTCATTTGACCTTCTGATCAAAAGTCATAATGTTAATACGAAATCAATGACTCGTAAATATTAAAGTAAAATGCCTATAATTGGAAATGTTGATTTTGTTTTTTAAAGCAAAGAAGGAAAATTTAGAATAGCGAGGAGATTTTCTTAAACTTTTCTAGATGACTCATTCATATTGTTGAAAAAAAGCTGGGGGTTAATATCCTTCTTTTAAGTAATCTGAGATTTTTATCATCTCTCGGGTCATTTTAAGGGTAGATAACTCAAAAATATGCCAATCATCACCTGCTTTGAATTTATTTAGATTTGTGTTTTTGTAAATATACAAAATTTGCTGGAATTCTATGCGACAGATATATTTCCTCGAAACAATGCGGATATATCTTCATTGAAACAAGATGCGTAAAATGAATGAACTTATTTGTAAGTTGTTTTATTTTTTAGATAAATAGGCTTACAATAATTATATCTTTGATATTCTCTAGATAGTGAAACATTCAGGCGTCATATCATGGTGAAATTTTATTCGTTAAATATATTTTAAGAGGAATGACATATTTACGATATTTTATGATGTCAAACATTAAACCATTAAAAATCACGATTACTTTAATGTGAAATGGACTCAAATGTTTATGATCTCGCTACAAATGGAGATTCTGTAAAATAAATGGGATGATTTTACAAGTGGAACATCTCAAACTAATCGTAAACGTTATAATTATGTATTTATTTTTCCCTCTCCTCAGTGTTGCATATTAATATTCCTGTGCATACGTCTTGCCAAACATACTTTGTATAATTTCATGAAGGTAAAACATAGAATACATGATGCTTTAATTGTGTTTATCTGTAGAAGTCAACTTTACATTAAAATAAAAAAGCAAGTCAATGAACAATTTCATGACAATTTCAACGTTATATCTGTTATCAAAGTCAAGATATTGAAAAATCTGTGATTTATGAAACATTAATATGTATAAATTAATTTATTTTTACAATCTAAATATACATGTATTTTAATTGATCAAATAAAACACCTTTATATACAGCTCAGGATCCCTTTAAACATAGATATATCTACTATCATGATAAAAGACAAGTAAAATGTTTTCCTGCGGGGAAAAGTTTTTTTTCACCTTAAACGGTAAAATAATTATAGAAAATTAGAAATATAACGAAAAAGTGTTTTGTTCATAATAAGACGTAATTCGGACTAATTCTATAGAAGTAAATCCGTAACGTACCGACAAACGGTATTTAGCTAGGTTTTCGAAAAGGTCAATTTACCGATCATGTACGGTTTAAGGGGGCAGGGGACCTAAAAATGAAAAATTTTGTATTTCAGTGTGACCAGAAACACAATTTCAAATATTTCAAAATCTGTTTCACAGGCAGATAACCAGTTGCACAGCATTATTCAATGATATATGGCATACATTGAAGAAAATAATAGTTTGCATGCATTGCTCCTTCAAAAAATGACTGACAGCAATTTATATTTACCCCCACCCAGCCAAAAACACACCTAAAATATACCAATATGGGCAATGGGTGGCGCGATAGCTCAGTTGGTAAGACCACTGACTGTCACTCCTGAGGTTCCGGGTTCGATCCTGGGTAACACCCTTGGGATTTTTCAGAAACACTTTCAGTGTTTCCCACCTAACTAGAGGTTTACTGGTAAGAAACCCAGGTAATCCTCGCATGTATCAGTGCTATACACTGGGCATGTAAAAGAACCAAGGAATCTATTCAATAAGAGCTAGGGACTGGTTCCCGGATTTCCTTGTATCGCATAGCTATCTCTACAGTCTGCTGAGGTAAGGACCCTACTGGAAATAAGTGCTTGCACTTTCGTAGGTTATCCTTGACCGCCAGGTCTAAAGAAAATCAATCAATCAATCTTCATGAAGGTGCAGCATACTCCAGAATCCGCTCGATTCCTTTAAAAATATCAGTAACACGCAGTGCAAGCTATGGCATTTTCAGAAATGACCAATAAAGTGTCTGTCATACTTTTAGATTTTTCTCAAAATTTATGCGAAATTTCTTACTTACAATAAATTAATGTCAAAGCTTGATTTTTATCTTTTTCACCTCCATTCGGAGAGCCATAAATACATACAAAGCTACCAAAATGCTTAGTTTCGGGTAAAACCCAAAAAATACTTTTCATTTCCTACACACAAACAAGAAAGAATTACAATGACAGAGAAATATCAGAAGTTATCAGTACCTTCAAAACACCATGTCTGAGTTATTAAAAAAATTGACCGGGGCCATCATTCGAATATGTCCCCTGCCCCCTTTAGTGAGACTAAAAAAAGGATTGGAGCACCCCACTAAAAACCGTTTTCCGGTATATACCGGACAATGCGTTTGAATGATAAAATGATTAAATCAAGCCTTTTTATCCAACGGAATGAACTTCAAAAGGTCTAATTAATCTTTTCACAGCGATTTATGTATGATTATGAATGAAAAATGTAAAAATAGGCGGAAAAACATATTTGTCTATTTTATGACTATGATTTCTGCAAGCGTCTAGAGGTACTGCTCCAATCCTGTTTTGAATTAAATCAGTACGGTTTACAGTCACACGCTCCTCCATGTACCGAGAGCAGGTCACATGCTCCTTCATGACTCAAAAATAAACGCGTACCAATACCCTGCAAGCTGGGAATAATGCAATACAGAGTAACACAATTTATACATATCTTTACCACATGTTTACAACATTTATGAAATCACAAAACTTTATGTGTCTGAAAACCATACTTCATACTATATTCCAAACTGATAAAGAACTTGTGTTGTTGCACAGGAACAGATTATCTATTTAAGTAGTAAAGATTATATATCATTCATTTATGTACAATATAGAATAAAAAAATCGAAAATGAAAGAGTCATCTTAAGAAAGGTTGCATCTTCTAAGTCAAAAATCGAATTAAAAAGCCAAATACATTATCTTATAAAGCAGTGATTGGGACAAGAAGGTAACAATGCCATAGTAATAAACTCAACGCCATAAATATTATCACAATCGTATGTAAATAACTTTTTGTTTGCTTTTCAGCTATAACATGTGTTCTGATATACAAAAGTTTCTCACGTGAAAGAGCGTACATGAGCTATTTATTTTATTGCTAAACCACGCAGAATGTTTTACAGAACAACATAAAAAGATTGATGAAAGATAACTATCTGAATATCTCCATTTCATTCTTTTCTCTTTGCATGTTCATATCTATACATTAAGAAAACGAAATCGACAGCGTGTGAAAGAAACTCACTTTATAGTTTTTTTCAAAAAGAGGGTTGTATGTTAAATGACAAAACCGCTACTGCCTTACATTCCTTTTGGTTACAGTTTACATAATACTTAGTTTGTCAATAGTCGTGCTTCCTTTGCTGATGACACACTTTTAATATTACATTATATCATTGTATCATGCAACCTGTCGTTTTCACATATTTCTTTGTTGAAATAAATGATTTAGCAAGTTAAATGTTGATGCTGCAAATCAAAGACGCCGCAAATGATGTGAACATTCGCAGGTAATGTACAAAATCAGCCTTGACAATTGTTCTGTATTACAGATGAATATCCGAAGCACAAATCATTTTTTTGGAATATGTGCTTACAAACTACCATTATGATATTATGTTCAATATACAGAATAAATTTAGTTCGATAATTGTAATTTATAAACATTTATTGTGTACCTTATACAAAATCATCTCCGTTGCGCTGAGATCCCGAATAAGTCCATTTCGAAGGGATGTATTACCTTCCAAAACATTAACATAATTTTATTTCCTTTTGAATTTTACATCACATTTTGATGTTGATACTACATTTAATACATACAATTTGAGTTTGATAATTGTTATTTATAACCAATCATAGCAAATTATCTCCGTTGCGCCAAGGATATGTCCATTACGCGGCCAGTTTACCAGTATAGAATCCTTCAACGCAACCTATCGCCAATATTTGTTATACATTTAAAACAAACTTATTTTTTTCACTCAGTTAACCTGTTTTGCTACTTAAATGTTAATTATTTTCATGAACAAGCAAACGTTGTGACTGTTTTGCAAAATTATGTCCGTTGCGCCAGTTGCGGCCAAAAATCTCCGTTGCGTATTTTAGTCATACCCCTGGTTCCTGTCGCAATTTAGTTCCCGTCATTAGACTATTAAATGACTCATTGACATGTCATTTATCAAGTAAATAAAACAAGATCAAAATAGAAAGAATATGATATTCAAACAAGGCACTATCACATAAGTTAAACGTATATTTTAGTTCCTTAAAGCTCGATGACATGTTGTACATCACAAAAGCTATTTGTATTGGATAATCTGAAGACAGTGTAATTTTGTTAAAGATCCTGTATGTTGTAATTAAGGTTGTTACCACACAAGTGAAATTCTAATTATGCTTCTAAAACAATTTTCAAACATCGAAGAATATGTAAAATATGTACTGCAAATATTTGTTCACATTATATGTAATCATTAAAATATGCATTCATTTCTTATTTAAAAATTTGACTAAGACATTATAGAAAATAAATTTCTTATTATTTGATATATTTCTCCTTTTATTTACATGAAATGAAAATTCGATAATATCTTTACAAATAATGCTTTTTTAGACTTACAATATTGATAAATCTTCATTTGAGCATTATATTTTTGATATAAAACTATAAAAAAGGGTTGAGTTACAGGATCTTTAAAACAAAAAAATAAAATATCAAGACTAAAATTTTCCCCATTGCTGAATGGACGAATGAATATCTACTAGCCGCCACATGCACGCGGCGTCTTATAAAGCACATACTGTCCAAAATCATAACGCTACAACATTGTAAAACTAAATTTTCCATATTTCATTTCAAATAAATTAAATGGGATGTATATGGATATCAATACAAACGACAAAATATATGTCAAAATAAAGTTGCTTTTAGAATAATTGTAGTTTTGCTTCAAATGAGGGCATGAGAATTTTCGTTATTTAAATTAGCATTTTTCTTTAGAATATACAAACATTTTAACCAGCCCTCTGACATGAGTTCAAGTAGCATAGCAAAATAACAGAAACAGCGGAGGTCCTTGAAGAAAATTGTTGAAGCCTTAGTTCATTTTCAGTTCGCTTCTCAGACAAGCAAGGACACAATGTTGTTCTCTGGATCTTGTGCGTTTTTTCTTTTACTCTTCAAATACCAGATTAGCGTGTCTTTAGCAAATGAACCAATGTGCTCAAAATTTTCTTATGACGAGCAATTGTTAGAAAAAATGATAAGGCAGGAAATAAGAGTAGAAATGATGCAGAATGATATAAAGAAAACCCAAGAAGCTGTTTCTGTTACGCTGGAGGAAATTAAGAAAACAAGTGTAGAGGTGTCCAAAACACTGGAGTCCTTGCAGAACAATGCCACGGAGGCGATGAAAGGAATCATCCGAGACAAAGAAAAAAACGAAGGTAATATGTTTATCTAATGTTATATATTTTAATTTACTTATTCTTCTACAAACCTTTAAGGGAAATTTGCTATTGAATTATTCTAAAGACAATTCTTCTAATACTTTGTCAATGAATAACACGGTTCATCGACAAGCTCGAGTCAAGTAAACATTGATATTCTAAAATCAATAAACAGCACCGAATTGCCTTAATTTGATTAAAATATTTAACTTAAAAATCATATTTAATTTCCTGGTGCGGTAGAGGATTTTGAGTACATTCATACATGTACGATTCTTAATGTTCTGCTACTCGTATTACAAATAATCACAATACCACGTGTTCATTTTACTAAACAAACAAATGCACTACTAGCAGTGCTCGTTCCATACATAACCTGAAGTATCTTAATATTTTGTCAATATTATTTAATATTGAAACATTTAGAGTAATATATGCATAATATTGGATTGTTCTTGATATCGATGTTAATGAAAAAGGGTTTTCCCAAACTAAACTTGGTAATCAGAATATGATGTTGTGGGGAAATCAATATTGATAATCAGATACGAATTGTTCCTTACAATGATGAGAAATCAATTTTACATTCACAAATGTCCAAATGATGCCAATGCGTCCCTTACCCTGATCCAAGATGTTCATAAATTTGGTCTGAAATTTCTAAAATCTGGTTTAAAGTTTGAATTATACTACGTTAAAAATTAAGAGCATGTTGACCAAGATTTTGTTTTATTTTTGACAGAAATACTGAGAAAAACATTTGAAGAACAACGGAATAATTTCACAACTGATATGGAAGAAGGAAGGAAAATGTTAAAACAACTTTCAGGTAAGATAAAATAATATCAGCACATTAATCAAGTATTTTCCTATTCATACAAATGTCAAAGCTTAATAGTAAAGATGAATGCGACAAATACAGTATCATTGTATATTCAAAAAGTAATCATAGATAGTTGTATTAAAACCTATAAATCATATTAAGATATATGAATTAGAATTAAGCTGTTTTCATTTGTTCTTTTGCTTTTTTATAAGATTCTTTTCGGTAAGTTGGAGTTCGAACCCAAACATTCGTTTTTGAACATATTTTGATTTGACGTTTATTCAAAATATGTTGTCTCTGATTTTATTCCTTTTTTAAATCAAGTAAATGCAAATCGTACCATTCGTGGCAGAATAATAAACAATATCTATCGAAATACACTTCTAAAATCTTTTCTTAATTTACAGAAAACATGAAAAAGCCTTCCGTTGCATTCTTTGCACACAATGTGGTAGATCTAAAGCTTGACAGAACAGACAAAATCATCATATTTACCATAGCCACGACCAATGAAGGATCAGGATATGACACTTCCACTGGAATCTTCACAGCACCTGTCGGGGGATTGTACCAATTCATTGTTAATTATTGTACACGCATCAAGCAACATTCACCTCTTGCGTTGGTGCTATCAGGAAACGTGATTGCTCGGTCGTCAAATTATGATGCAAGCACAAATACTTGCAGCTCCTTTTCAGCAGTAATAAGAGTGAAATCGGAAGAGAAGATATGGGTTAAATGTTTGTATGGCTCATCCGGTTATGCTTTATATAAAGATAGTTGGTTGATGAACTCCTTCAGTGGAATTCTTGCCAATAAGTAAAACATTCATTATCCTCACGCATGAAATGTAACATAATGTAATTTTTATACAGTCGAACATTGCGTAGTGCGCTGCCTGTTTAACACAAGTGGTGTACATGTATATATATATCCATCATTGATATTACTTTTTGACTGCTATATATTTGTTTGTGAAGTAACTATAAACTCGTTTATTTAAGTCTCTTAATTCTCACATTTACAAATACACGTATAATACATAAAATGCATATACATTTAAAATACAAATCAACTACAAATACACGAGATTTACACAAGACATACGAGGGCTGTTCAAAAAATTCCTGGACTGCTGTTCTAATGTTCACTTCTTTTAATTTGCGTACACGATTTTACAAGAGACAAATATTGGAACATGTCCTAAAACTATAGTGAAAAAATCAATAAAATGTGTTTACAAATAAATATTCTGTGAAAGTTACAAGTAACAAGGAGTACGCGACCCGGCGCACGCTAATGATAAAACAAAATGACGTTCGTGACGTTCAATTAAAAATGTCACCAGCGTCATTGCTTCTGAAAGTAAGTTTCGAGTGTTCTATTTCCCCAAATTATATAACTATAACCATTTTTCTGTTTGTTGTGATGTAGCGATAAAGAAATGGGTCACCTTAGCGCTCCATTCTCCGTATAAGGGCCGAGGGCTGACCACTTTCTTTATCACGATTTTTTAGTAATTTTGACACTTAACAGACATTGTTATCAAGTTGATTTAATTGGTGTTTTATAGTATCAATTTAAAACCACCATCGTCCGATCTTTAAACAATATGATTTTAACCAATAAAAAATATTTTATCAACTGCCAATTGTTATCTGCGGTAAATCTACTGAACACCGGCTAGCATTTTATATCAAACAAGTCAGCGATAATACATGTAATACAAATAGTAACTACATTTATTTATTGTTAATACGCATGCATTCTGATGAATACAATAAAATTTTGTTTAAATTTAATTGAATTGAATGTGTACACCAGATGCAGAAATTAAATATGCCGGACAGCTCATACACTTTTTATACTATCCACCTCCTAATTGACGTTCCAAACGTCCTGACGATTCGCGGCTTTCTCCCTCGCCCCATTTCTGTCTGTGATTATGAATTCGCCAGTTTTTAATCACTTGCGCCAGGACCTGGTCAACGACTCATTGCCCTTTATTTAATTGAACCACCTCATATGAAGGAGTATCCCTAATTTCATGGCAAACTTCCCGAAAGTGGGAATTTCTAGTTTTTTAAATGGGCTTCATAATTCGCAATTAACGCTACTTACTACTGCTGCTCAAAACGTGTTTGTTAAGCCATTCAACGTCCAAATGACGTCGAATTTCAGATTTATTAACAGATAAAATAACCGTTCAATTTATTTCAACATTTGTTTATATTTTAACATTATATGTGCCCCGATGTTGTGTTGCCACGGTTATTAAAGTGCACATAGTTCGCAACGGATGTAGAAGTATAAGATAAAAGTAAAACTTACTTTTAGATATAAAGACACTCGTTCGATTAATATCAACCAAGGTTGTTTTTATAAACCAAGTAAAATATGACAGCAAAAGTCCACTAACTTTTTAACATACCTCGTGTGTAACCATTATCACATATAATATGACTATTTACATAGAAAACAGATAAGAAATAGAATACTCTTGTAAATCTGATTAATTTCTATATTGTTCAAACTTTCGGCTCGTCCAGAATAAAATAAAATCCAAACGATAACACACATAAAAAAGTTAAAGAGTGAAAGACTTTAATACAAATTTCGAGAATGTGAGTAAACTCACTACCTAGATAAAATCTTGAATAACGCCTAAGCCATCGATCATAGACCTGCATATCGATGTATCAAAGGTTTGTTGCAAATGAAACAATTATCTGTACATGTTCAACAATATTCGTCTCGCATGATTTTTGTTGTAATTTTTTACATTGTGATTGCTTGCTGTCGGACAAATCTTAATAATGAGAAGCTTAATTATTGTATTCTTGCTGGTTTATATAAATTCAAACTTCACCATATTGAGTCTTTGAATTTTATAATTCCTGTTTCATGCATGCATGGTTTGTTATGAAAATACAATCATATTACTTATTGTATACATTAATTAGTAAACCTTAGTTTCTTAACAACATATATTGTTCTTATTTTTACCTGTAAAATAAAAAATCAGTACACGTATTCAGCTCCTCCCCCAATATTTTCAGTAAGTTATTAAAGAGCGGACACGAAGTGACCTTGGGTAGTACATCACTTTACATAGTGTTTCGTAAGGATGATAATTTGTGCCAAATATAATTTGAAAGTGTTAAGCATTTATAAAGATATCGTTGCGCCCACAGTCCCAGGCCATCTCATAAACTTTTCAACAGAATAAAAGTTATCGACAGACACACTAATGCCTTGTCCACATGGGTAAATGACAAAATGTGTTTAATAGAGTCTTTGAAATCATTAAATTAAATGAAATTACTATGATAATCTAATCTAAGCTAATTCTGTCTCAAGTTATTGATCCGACAACCAGTTCATTGTTGCCAAAACCATATTACATTGGTCATCTTCTTGCCATGGACTATATCCTTACTAACTTTACCAAACGTAGGCTTATCATTTCTCAAGTTATTGATCGGACAAGGATTATATACATAGTGTCGCTGTGAACTTGACAGTTGATTGAAGATTATGAAGGATCATAGACAATGTCCCACAAAGTTATATTAACCACTGCTGATTCCATGTAAAGGTATTGATTCGACAAAGATAACATGGACACATACAGAACTCTCCCCCACCTTTCAGAAATAAAATCCGGAATTTTTAATGTGCAAAAAATGTAAAACATAAGCAACTACTACGTATTTCTAGAAGAATTTATTTTCTGATTTACAATGGTTCAGATTGCTTTAGACTTTAATCTAGAAGTCACCATTTGTGTAGTGGTATAAAATGAAAAGAGGTATGCCATACAATAAATGATCAAAAATCCATTTGTATTATATTTGCATTATTATACATAATAATGTAATACCAGTATATGTAAAATGGATATGACAATGAAGTATGTTAAACTAGCCATCCTGAAATAATTGAGCTTAAATAAGTATGTTTAAACAATAATAATGTACCATAAGTGTTCAAAAAATTTTGAATTATAAATTTACATTATTATAAGCATTATATCATTAATAGTCTACATTTAAATTCACCACCAACAAAATTTAGCTTTGAAAACTCTAAATTATATAATACAGGTTATAAAACTAGTTTATATGTATTTCGATCTTGATCTTGTAGTTAGCTCTAGTGAACTTGCTAGACCTGGCCTTGGGGTTTATATCTTTCTTTTCTGTTCTCATTCAAATCTAAAGCATTTCACTGGTCAATGTTCTTACTTCGGCAGTTTCTGACTAAGCTTAGAGAATATCTTTATAACCTTAACATTAATAAAATTAATCAATATAGATTTTAATTCATGGAAGAAAAATGTGTACCCAAATTACTTCGGCATTTTTCACTGCTAATGGTAAAAGTATGTTCATTTCATTTTTATTCCACCACTATTGTTTTTAGCACTAAGAAAATGTGAAATATGATACCATAATTGTTACTTCGATTAAATTGGTTATATAAATATACGTATTAACGGTGGCTATCGAACGTGTCACATCCAATTTTCTAAAATCTCCTTCATACGTCATCTAGATATAACACATTTTCAACTTTTATCAGTTTTACATAAAATTCTGTTAAGGTTTGTGCTATGATTATTGATAATTTCATTCATTTTAACAAAATTAAGAATCCTATCCTCGAAATGAAAGTTCAAAAATGTCTACAATTTTAATATTTTTGCTATCCATTTTTGAATGGTTCGTGTGATAGCGATATGTTTCTTTCCACTTATCTTACTTTTTAACTCAGTCCTGAGTCGTAGTCTCTGAGTGAGCTATTAGAAACAATAAATGTCCGTCGTCCGTCCACACTTTGTTAACACTCTTGGGATCATTTGTTTAACTTAATTCTCACGAACGAAACCCAGCCGTGATGTGTGTCTAAGTTATTACTCGGACGAGTTTAAATATGGGTTATCTAAGATGAAAACCTGAGTAGCATGACCAATATATGTTAACCCTCTAGAGGCTAGATTTTTTCTGTCCAAATATCCTTGAATTTTGTCAGAAAGGCTTTGTCGTTGTTTTCCATATCGTTGAGCCTTATAGATCGTTCAGCACGACACTATTGTTTTGCTGGTGGTAATTTAGTTCTTTCTTTTCGGCTATATTCTTGTTGGGCGGTTCCTCATTTGAATACTGGTCAATCACCCTTAGGATATGTTGCCTGCTTTTTAAATTTGTCTTTTGAGGTATTATCTGTGATATGCAGGCTTTATTACCTCTGATTCCCTTTTAAACTTCCATTTTATTTAGTTCCGCCGATTGTTTTCTCGTTTAGGGCACACTTGTGGATCATATGCCGCGTTTCATGGAATGCCACTTATGTGTCACATTGAAGGTTTCATGAATACCGCTATATATACACATCTGTGGATGTTTCAAAATTCCAAATTGTACCAGTTCATGTTAACTGTTGAATTCTGCTTAGGCCGGTGCCAGGGGGAGTGGACGGAAACTTCCACATTCCATTACCGTCCATGAACAGGCTCAATAAAACAGAGCATGCAACATTTTCAATTTTTCCGTGTTGGGCTCTCTTTAGGGATTCTTATTTTCTCTATTCTAGCTCATGTTCGAATATTGGTCGTTTGGGGTCAAAACAAGCTCAAAACCTTTACAACGAATACATATCTTAACATTAAATAGGAGAGGTGTCACAATTCGAAAAACTGATAACCCTTTCAAAGGCGACCCAATAACCGTGAAACCGATGGTAATGGATCTTTTTTATGATGTTTGCAAATGGGGTGATTCTCTGGATTGTATTCTGTTCATGAATTGAAACATATACCGTAATTCAAGCAATGTTCAATTTTGATAAATTGACTATAATGCATATGTATGACTTGATTCGAAAAAGTTTGAAATGATGCAAATTCGTTGTGTCATTGCTGAAAAAAATCATATTTAAGTAAAATATTATTGTGGTTTGAATTTAATTACATAATTCATACTGAACATATGTGTATCAACTATGAACATCACATTACTTACAGTAAACATTGCCATTCTTCTATAATTGCGTTTGTACTACCCCACCCACTATGTATATCATTTTAGATCAATACATGTTATTCTGATTAAATAAGACTTTATGATAAGCTAGACATAACAAGCAATGATGTCCAATTTGCAGCATAATGTTGCTTAGATAACTGGGATTAAACGGGTGAAAAATAGAAAAATTGCATCAAAATTATTACATGAGATAGTTAATCAAAAGAAATTGTATGAAAAAAACTCAAATAATTTGCAAAACTGAAAGGAGAAAAAAGCCAATTTTATTATGCTGGAATATAAAGGAACGTTGTGGCCATCGTTGACGCCATCTTGGATGCCTCAGCTTCGAAACATTGTTGGGCAAAACGAATATCCATCCGAGTAACTGCAGATCCTGACGAACATTTTAGTAAAATGACACTTGCTGTTGGCTTGCATAGACCAGTTATCCCTTTAAATAGGCCAGTAATATAAGCTGATTTGCAGTTGAACTTTTGATATTCATTGATCATTTTACATTTCTTCTACAATATCAGTTCATTTACTACTCTTAGAATACGTTCATTTGTAACATATGTTTGGAAAACTGTCAGTGATAACCATAAGTAATTAGCTTTTTTATAGTTCCGCTTATTCTTATCTCATTAAAATCATTTATAACTAAACTGGGTAATAAGAATACAGTAACTGTGCAATTAGCAATATACAATTGTCCCTAACAATGATGAAAACTGTCCAAAACACGTTAAAATGTGTGTCCTTGACCAATTCCCAATGTTCATAAATCTGGTCTAAATTGACCCACCATCTGGTCAGTGGTGTTAATTGAAGTTTCCTAATTCAAAATCATGAGCATGTTAACAATGTGTCTTATCCTTGACAGAAATACTAAGGAAAACATTTAAATAACTACAGAATAATAATACTGATGTGAAGGAAGGAAAAAAATGTTAACAGATTTTTCAGGTTAGATAAAAGTACATCAATGCAGTAATAAGATATTTTCTTATTCAAAGCTCAATAATTAAGCTGAATTATTCTGTGTTGTTGTTTTTATAAATTTGACTACTATTATAAAAATTTTCACCTATATATATTTTAATCCATTTAAAAGCAAGAAAATGCAAATAATAGCACCCATAATTCAAAAACACCCAAATAAATCACAAAAATAACCGTCTAAATGTATTTATTTTTTTTTCCTTTTTTATATTTACAGAAAACATTAAAAACTTCTGTTGCTTTCTTTGCACACAATGTGGTAGATCTGCAGCTTGACAGAACAGACAAAATCATCA